TGAATTTTACGATTGTAATTACCTTTTCAAAGTTCAGGGACGCCTTTACCACTTAGTGCTTGGCATTTTATAGACGTGTTATTATTCCGGCATGCATCACGTCAAAATAAAGTTTCAATTTTTAATTTATCACGTGGGAACGCTATTGAAATTTTCTGCGAATGATGGCCAAAATAAGTAAAAACACGTCAAGAATAAACCAAGCCCAATTTAAAATTTATTAAATAAGGTGGCCCCAATCTACTGAACATTTCCGTTATATACATATAGAAAGATAATGCATTATGCATGAAATTCTGCAAACTAACCCAAACTAAATGCGTATAGTCAAAAAACAATAACTTCAAGGGTAGACAACTTTTAAGAAAATACAGGTCACCCAGTAGCAGGTTAGATCAGGTTAGGTAAAGTCGAAAATGAGTGGGCCTATTACTGCCCTCTAGTGCGACTCATTGGTCTATTGTGGCTCATGCCTATTTATATTTTATATTTCTCCAATCATGCCTATTTTTCCAATGAAATCCAGGATAGTGATTGAAGAGATGTTGTTCAGGTATTCCAGTGGTATCGTTGCCTTACTTAAGATATAATGCCTGGGATGATGCCTGCCAGACATTCGCACTGCAGCTTTCTCTTCGTCCTCCATGCATAGTCTGCAGTCAGCATCATCTGCCATTCCAACCCTGTTCATGTAGTGTTTTAGGCTACAGTGTTCAGTGTGTAAGCCCATTAGTGTTTCCAGCTTAGTTCTGCGGAGCTCCAGTATCCTTCCAACCGAGCGTTCTTTCACCGGTTGTCTTATGATTATAGTAGGTGGAGCTAAGCGCCTTGAGAGCCCTGATCTCAAAAATAAATGGATAAACAAAGAACGCTTCTAATGCTGCTAATTTACGAGATCATAATGTAAACAACTGGGACAGCTGTGAGCGTGCGCAGTAGATACATGTTCTGTGCGTGCGCAAAATATTGTCAATGAAAATGAAGGATATTTCAAAATTTAGAATAGTTGTCCGAAAGATAAGACACTGCGCAGGCGTTAGGCTGTTCCGTTGCACAACTGTTCAAAGAATATTGACCCCAAATTTTCGCACAAGTTTAGCCAATCAAGCCGTACGATCCATTTATTTTTGAGATCAGTGCTTGAGAGCGGCTTGGCTGTCAGAATATATTTTTATGGCTTTGTGAGTTTGGGGTCGATTCTGCAGCCTCCTCACCCCCATTTCAATGGCATGCATTTTCGCTTGAAAGATGATTGCATTGTTCCCTAGGCTGATGGATAACCTAGTTTTCGGTTTTGCACTATAAACGCCCGCTCCCACCCCACTGTCTGTCTTCGATCCATCCGTGAACAGACATAAATCTGCTTTTAATAGGGCATGCTCATTCTGCACTCACTCTTTCCTTCTTGAGAAAGCCACTGTGAAATGTAGGGCGCTTGTTGTGTGTGTTTTTGGCATAAGGTCCATAGGCATTCCCAAACCGCTATGTGTTTTTAAAAACTCCAGCAATTTGGTGCCTTCCACGTTTCCTTCGTCATCCGCTTGATCTCTGTTCGTATGGTATATTCTGCAGGTTGTTTTGAGGGCTTCCTTTTCCAGATAGATATGTAAAGGGCTAATTCCTAGGAGAAGCTCCATGGCTGCTGTTGGCGTAGTGCTGAAAGCTCCTGTTACTGCCAAACAGGCCTGTCTTTTTAGTCCGTTGAGCTTGGTTTGGGCAGTGCACTATAAATCTTATAGAGGGGATTGGTACTTCTTCGTTCTATATATGTTTCTTCGTTTGTGCTGTCGTCTGAATTGCCAAGAAAACGGATGTGTAGGATACAGATTCTGTGCTTTATCAAACAAAAGTAGCTACAAAATTTAAAATAATGTGACAACTTAACAAAAGTTAGAAAACTTAAGTCCCTCTTCGAACTTTATTGATGTTGTTAACTACACACAGCGTTATACAGGGTGTAAAAAAAGTCTGGAATATTGGTGATATCTTAAAAACGGCTAAATATTTTTTTCTTAAAATTGGTATGCCTCTGTAACGAATAACTCCGGATTATTCAAGTGTGAAATCGCTTATGTAAGAATACAGGGTTAGTCAATAAAAATGCAAACCTTTTTATTTTAAATGACACACCCTGTAAATTTTTACGGATATCGATAGATCTTTGCAAGACAAATTCACTAATATGGGGTTTAGGGATCTCATCTGTCAAAGTGACGGAACAAGTAAAAAAACTAATTCAAACTGTTTATTGTTATAAACACTAAAAATAATCACAACAAATGTTCGAAATGAGCTCCATTATTATCTAAGCAATAACCTAACCTGTCCTTAAACTCCTGGATAACATTACCGAAGATTTCACCTGGTATAGATCGATTTTCACCAAGTATTCTATCTCTAAGTTCGTTAAGATCTAATGGTCTACTTTCGTAGACGTTTGTTTTTAAATGCCCCCACAGGAAAAAATCAAGGGGCGTGAGGTCGTCGTCCCATCCATCGATTTGGAAACTCCTCATCAAGAAATTGCCGGACTTGTACACCAAAATGCGCTGATGCACCATCTTGCTGAAACCAAATATGCTCCCTGTTTGGATACTGCACATTTAAACTAGGAATAATATTGTCTCGCAATAATCGGAAGTATTTATCCGAAGTTAAATTTCCCATTATGAAGAATGGCCCTATTACATTATGGCCAATAATACCTGCCCATACGTTTAGTTTTTGAGGGCGCTGAGTATGTACTTGCTCCATCCAGTGAGGATTGGTAGTAGACCAGAATCTATAGTTGTGCCTATTTACAGAACCGTTTAGCATAAAAGTAGCTTCGTCAGAAAAAAGAATTTTATTTGCAAAGAAGGGGTCAGTGTTACAACGCTCCATAAGAATTTCGCAAAACTCTGACCGTCTGTCGAAGTCATCTTCGTCGAGCTCCTGAACAAGGTGGACTTTATAGGGACGATTTTTTTGGTCATGTAGTAAATTGTACACTGACTTGTGGCTGATACCATGTTGCAATCCTAGCGACGTGTTGATTGCCTAGGATTTTCTGCAATATCTAATAAAACATTTAGTGCTTTATCACCGTCCGTCGCCACTTTCGGTCTGCCAGTGCGCGACAAATTTTTAAAGTATCGTTGAAACGTCTTATTACTTTACTTACACATGACTGCGTAATGGGGTTTCGGTTTGGGTAAAGATCGTTAAATAAATTGCATACTTCCAGTTGAGTCCTTTTCCTGTCTCCATAACCAACCATCATAAGAATTTGAATTTTTTCTCTCTCACTTAAACCAGGCATAATGAACACACTGAAATCTTCAAAATTGATGGAAAAATTCAAACTAAATATTATTTAACTTCAACGTCAAATTGACAGAATGATTATTCAACCAATCATTTTATCATTTTGACTCAACCTTCTATGATTTTGACGTTGAAGTTAAATAATAAACCGTTATGCCTGGTTTAAGTGAGATAGAAAAAAATCAAATTTTTATGTTGGTTGGTTATGGAGACAGGAAAAGGACTCAACTGAAAGTATGCAAATTATTTAACGATCTTTACCCAAGCCGAAACCTCATTACGCAGTCCTGTGTAAGCAAAGTAATAAGTGTACGATTCACTAGGTACATAAACAAAAAAATCGTCCTTATAAAGTTTACCTTGTTCAGGAGCTCAAGGAAGATGACTTCGACAGACGGTCAGAGTTTTGCGAAATTCTTATGGAGCGTTGTAACTTGGTCACGTTCAGCCGAACTCAACATGTTGAATGATTAGGTAGCGGCTTTGTTCCAACAAGTGAAATACACAAAGTATAACAGTTTTGATTGGCCAAGAGCTGATTTTCATCTGTTTTCAACAAAGCCGCTGACTAATCACTCAACATGTTAAGTTCGGCTGAACGTGACTATTGACCCCTTCTTTGCAAATAAAATCCATTTTTCTGACGGAGCTGCTTATGCTCAGTTCTGTGAATAGGCACAACTGCTGACTCTGATCTACTACTAATCCTCACTGATGGAGCAAGTACATACTCAGAGCCCTCAGAAAATAAACGTGGGGGCAGATATTGTTGGCCATAATGTAATAGTACCGTTCTTCATAGAGAGAAATTTAACTTCGGACAAATACTTACGATCACTACACGATAAGGTTATTCCTAGTTCAAATATGCTGACTACAAACAGGCGAATGAAGAATGTCGTCATTGTCTCTTCAGAGCTTAAACAAGGAAAGCATCAAAGATTTACGTGCGTCAGAGCCATTATGAACGATTTCCATCGGTCGGTAGATTTCTACGTCATACCTTGGCCTTGTGGTATGAAAACAGTATTTTAAAAAAAAAATAATTATTAATAAAATAGGGTAATTTTATTTTGGTTGATACAACTGATTTAAAGTAATAAGGTAATGAAATTCAAATATGGTGGAGCTCCCCATTCAAAATAATACAAATAATCGTGAGCATATTGTCATTGGATAAGCTTTATGATGGATCAATTACCTACGTAACAGACAGCAATCTTGTCAGATCTTAGTTAATCCACCTTATGGATATCTTTGTGATAATTTGTTTTAAATATTTCGTAAATCTATTTTTTTTTATTAAAGAATTCAAAACTTTTCTGGAATATTTTTGTTTTTTTTTTCTTTTTTATCTGTATTCAACCTACTCAGGTATAGCCATTCTCATGTTCCAGAAGATTATTGTTGTTTTGCTATTAACTTATCCCAATTATTAAAAAAAAAATGTTGAACAAAAGGAAAATAGACCATAATCTTTAAGAACAATAAGAGATTAATTTCAAATATATTCCCTGTCAAAAATGTTAACTACTAAAACGTGTTGGTATTTATATCCTTTAATCCATCCTAATACGATAATGAGTTTAGTCAGGCGGTAAAAATCTCGTTTGCGTTAGTTTTAAGATGAGAGAGGTAAGTGGCATTTTCAAGACACAAAAAACATAATTTTAGACTCAATTTCTCAAGTGAAGATTTTTTTATCGAAGATTCAAGAAGATGCATCAGTCGAAAAAAAAGAAGATGATAGATCTAGCTGGGACAATCCTTTGGAGTTTGTATTTTCGTGCTTGAATTATGCTATCGGACTAGGGAATATATGGAGATTTCCTTATCTTTGTTACAGCAATGGTGGAGGTAAAAAGTTTATTAACATTTAACATTATTCCATAAAAATCTTCTATAAAATTAGAGAGCATTTTGAAACACTTTCTCAGGCACAATTTCTTGAAAATTTACTTCAAAAGTTATTTCAGTCTGTATCAAAGAATTAAACAAAAAGCGATTTTTCTTTGTCAAATTTCCAATTCAAAACTGACCAAAAATGCCGGTATTTACGATGACTAAAAACTCTCTACTATATAAACGGCGATTTATTTGATTTCAGGTGCTTTTCTTCTGGCCTACTTCATAATGCTCATTCTTATGGGCACTCCAATTTTCTTGATGGAATTGCTTATAGGCCAATATTCCGGATTGGGACCGGACATGGTATTTAAGCACATAGCACCGCTTTTTACTGGACTCGGATATTGTTGTTTAGTGGTGACTTTCTTTATTACCACTTATTACATGGTTATTGTTTCTTGGACGATATTTTACTTTTTTGCCTCATTTACGAAAGACCTGGGATTTGGTAGCTGCCATCATGAATTTAATAGCGTGGGTAAGAACTTTTATATGAAAAATGAGCTTTATTCTAATCATGACTTCATATCGAACCAAATCAGAACACTTCTGTGAATTTCTTTTGATAGTATTTGTCAAAATTCCAAAATGAGCCATAATAAAATTTAACCTATTACATAGTTTTAGAACCCTATATTTTGTAGGTTCAACTTTTGACGCTCTGCACAATGCATCCACCCTGTGTTGATAAAGGGTGTCTCAGCAAGAAATTGAATTTTAATCGCGCGCCATTTCTGTCTGTCAAGCATCTAGTCGGCCATATTGGGCATGTGTTCGGTGAAAATATTGGCATTTACCAAAATGTCGCGTTACCAACTTGAGGAACGTTTATTAATTCTAAAAACTCATTACAGAAAAGGAGAAAACTTTACAGTGACTATGCGCAGATTAGGAGAACATTTCGGCGTAGTACTCGCCCATCGCGGCCCATTGTAGAAAATTTGATCCACAAATTTGAGCGGACATTTGCATTGAAAGACGAGACAAGTGTTAGGCATCGTCGTCTTGGAAGGTTTGCCGAGAACGTCGCTCCCAGCCGCGAGACCCAATTACCGAACTTCCATCCGGCATCGCAGCCAGGAAACCCAAACATCAGTCGCAGTACGCTACAACGAATTTTGAGACAGGATTTGCATCTTCATGCTTACAAAATACAGTTGACAGAAGAGCTGAAGCCAGCCGATCATAGACAGCGCAGAAACTTTGCCAACTGAATATTGGAACAAGACGTAGTTGTCGATGGATTACAGAAAAGAATAATCTTTAGCTATAAGGCGCACTTGGCTTCAGTTCTTGTGTCAACTGTATTTTTAAGACATAAAGAAAGATGCAAATCGTTTTTCAAAATTCGTTGTAGCGTATTGCGCCTAATGTTTAATTCCGGGCCGCGATGCCGGATGGAAGTACTTGGATGTTCGGTAACACTGGCTCTCATGGCGGCGATGTTCTCGGCAGACCTTCCAAGATGACGACACGACGCCTAACGCTTATCTCGTCTTTCATTGCAAATGTCAGCTCAAATTTGTTGATCCAATTTTTAACAGTGGGCCGCGTTAGACGATTATGACGTAGGTACGCCGAAATGTTCACGTAATCTGCGCATTGCCACTGTAAAGTTTTGTCCATTACTCTAATGAGTTTCTACAATTAATAAACGTTCCCCAAGAGTCTAACGCGGGATTGTAGTAAATGTCAATGTTTTCACCGAACACATGCCCAATATGGCCGACTTGACGTTTGGCAGATAGAAATGACGCGCGATTTTAAATTCAAGTTTTTGTTGAGACACCCTTCATAATATAAACTAAATATAAACATACGTTGTAGGTTGTTATAGTGCATCAGAAGAGGCCAAATGCGAGGCAACAGAAACTTGGTATAACAACAGTTGCATGTCATCAAACGAACTTTGTAGATATTTGAACATGGATTCGGCAATAAGTCGAACATATTGCCTTAATGGCACCGAAGAAGTTTCTATAAATAGAGTTGTAAATAGGACTTTAGCTACTTCTGAGTATTTTAGGTACTAATTTATCATCATAATTATGTATTGTGTCTGAGAAAGTTTTGTTTTTCTTCTAGGGATTATGTGTTAGGCATTGGTGATGCAACATGGGAAAACTTTGGCTCAATGAGATGGGAAATTCTCGGATGTCTATTCTTTTCGTGGGTAATGTGTTATCTTGCGGTATTGAAAGGCGTGAAAACATCTGGGAAAGTGGTTTACTTTACAGTGTTGTTTCCATATTTTATTTTGACTGCATTAGTTATTCAAGGGGTGATCCTGCCTGGAGCTATAGATGGAATTTTGTTGTATCTCAAACCTGACTGGCAGAAATTATTAGAAGTTGATGTATGGGCTGCAGCAGCTTCACAAACATTTTACTCATTTGGAATAGGTATGTTTTTGTTACAAGAATAATATATAAGTTTACACAATTGAGAACTCTAGGCTGCATTAATGGAATCAGCCCAAAATTAATTCGCCCTTTACAAATTCCAATCTGTTGATTAAAGAGGTGTCCGACATCAGGTTTATGAAATTAACACAGCTTGAACTTTGAACTTGTCTTGCCCAAACTGCCTGTTTTTCTGACGATTACTCAATTTCAATTTTTCAAATATTTTTGATGACTACTCACATGCTTTACAAAGTATTTTTATTGGAATGAAAAACTACGAAAGTGTGTACAAAACTGAACAAGGAATTATTGGAAATTTTCCTAAAATAAATTTTATGGAACTTTAGACTCCGTTGTAGCATTTTTTATATGTACTTTGGCAGTGAAAACCAGACACTGGCGGAGTTACTTTATACTTTTTCTTAGTTAGTAAATAATGGTACAATGTTTAAAACATTTACAAAGAACTATATAATTTTTTAAGCTAATTTCATTTGGAATTTTTCTATATCTCATGCACTTTCTTAGACTATTTGAAACTAATGAGTTTTGAAAAAACGTATAAAATTAAAGTACCTTATTAGGATAAAGGTATTGATTATTATTTTTATAAAACTTCAGGCAGAAATTTGTTTTTGTTCTCGTTAATAATTGATGGATTTTTTAATGGAATTGCAAGCAATGGAAAGGAATTGTTACCTTTATGATATAAAATAAAGCAAAATACATTCTTTCCCACGCTCAGTTATTAATATTGTTAACTTGTTTCCACGTGCCTAAAGCGGCTTTCGGATGTTTGTACGAAAGCAAGTTGCATTAATATTTGGCCAATTTTGTTTGTTTGTACTCTTGCCGGGTGTAAGATAAAATTGTGTGTGTAATGTGTTTTTTTTTTCCGAAACAATAGCGAACATTAAAAAATGCTACGTGGTGAAAATTACACATATAGGTAAAAGTTGCCAAAAAAAAAGTAGGCCACTTCAGCATATTTTTTACTCCGACACTTTAACACCTTTGTCGGGGCAAGTGTCAGTCAGCCGTTTTATTTTATTAGATAGGAGATGGATACATCGATAATGGATATATAGCCCAGGGTCGATCCAGTCAAACCTTGAACAAATTAGAGACAATTTGGTATGTAAGTTTATTTTGGGTTTCTTTAGATATCACCAAACCCCACCGGTAATCGGCCGTGCCTGTCACCCCTAAACAACCCCTTAAATGGGTGAAAATCGGACTTTTTTTAGTTTTTTGGCAATATCTCAAAAACAAAGCTATTTATGAAAAAATATCAGGGAAGAAAAATTGAAGAGCATAAAATTTCCCATAAAATCACGTCTAACAGTTAATATGTTCCTTCACCAGTGGCGGAGTTAAAGGATTTTTAATAACTGGGTATTTGGTAAAAATAGTCTCTGGCGATAAATACAGGGTTTTCTGAAAGTATCGTGCCAAAAATTAAAGGATCTCGCCAAAATAGATGTTTTTTACTCATCAACCCATAGGCGCATGCGCTTTGGTTAGGTGATAATAGCACATTATAGTCCGCGCTGTGGTAGCCACTTTGCACACGGAGAAACGTGTTTGAAGCAGAAACTGTGTTATTTGATAATACAAAACCCAAGGAAGGCTTGAAGTATTTATTAAAAGCAATAATGCACATCAAAAGATGCTCAAAATTAAGACCACCTGCCTCAATGCATGCGTGACAGCGCCGTAGCAGAAATATCGAGTAAATTTCTGCAGGGCACCCTTTCCGAACTGTTAGAAACTGTTCCCCTGTATGCCAGAGAAAACATGTGGTATCAACACGACAGGGCCACATTACTACTACATTACTCGTTAGCTGTAAGGGAACATCTCAACGAAACATAATCTGCAACGAGTGATTGGTGAGGGCGCACCTATTGCATGGCCTTCTCGTTCACCAGACCTGACCGAATGCGATTTTTTTTTATGGGGTCATATGGAAGCTCCTGTGTACGACAATCCAGTTGAAACAAAGGAACAGTTAGTAGGAAGAATTGTTGCAGCAGCTGCTAGAATTCGCGAGACGCTAGGATTTTTTCAACGTGTTCAGGAGGCTATGGCTACGGCACTGTAACGCCTGCATTGAGGAGGGTGGTCGTAATTTTGAGCATCTTATGTTAATCATTAGTGTTTTTAATAAATACTGCAAGCATTCCTTGGGGTTTGTATTATTTGATAGCACAGTTTCTGCTTCAAACACGTTTCTTCGTGTGCAAGGTGAGGTGGCTACCGCGGCGCGGACTGTCATGTGCTTATAATCACCTAACCAAAACGCATGCGCTTGTGGGTTAGAAGTACAAAACGTTTATTTTGGTGAGATTTATCTTCCCCTCAATTCTGGCACAATATTTACGGAACACCCATATCTAACAATCCATAGGGATATTTTGGTAAATACATTTAAAGTCAATAAATTAAAAACGCCTACCAGTGGAGTAGTACAAGTAGGTACTATATTTCTAATTTCATACATTGATTTGTATGAGTTAATAGATTTATTAATTACGTGCGTATTGAATGTATCAAAATATTTTAAATATCCGTGGAATTTCCGCTTTTAATAACTTCTTATCAGGAGGGCTATATCTTGACCTGCCTGGACTAGAGATTCTGGAATCACTCAAAACCCATCCCATTGCTGGAGTAGTAAGCTATTATTCAACCATGCTTTCACCTGAAATTAATGTAATAGTCTAAGAGCCAGTGAATATTTTTCCATAAAAAGTTACCGGTGGACAATTTCTTGCTTAAACGATGTAGTACTATTATGCTCCGTGATCGAAAACAATAGTCTGGCAGCATGTAGTGGGGCAGTTTGGCGTAAGCATAATTAATTATTAGTCATTAAAAAATTCACAAAATTCGAAATACTTGCTAATGGTCAATTTTTCCGGCACATCATTCAAAAATGTGCCGTTAACAAGGCTGTAATGATGCCAGATGGCTTTCACGGGTTCGAAACCTTTCCAGACGCCCGCAAAGTGCAAAAACAAAATCGAAATACTTGCCGAAACCTTGTTTTTTCTAAATTGAAGAGAAAAAAATTGCGAATCGAACGCCCCTAGTGCCAGACGGTTTTAGCGAGAACTAATCCTTGCCAGACGACGCCGTTTTTCTCTGTTAAAGAGGCCAGATGTGGTATCACATTCGGAAAGGGCGTGCATGGCAAGAACATTTTTTAAAGGTCTCAACTTATCGTGCATCCTATAGATTGTTAGATATATTTAATATAAAAATCCATTGTCATGGCTAGAGAGTATTTTTACAGGATATCCGGTTATTAAAAATATTATAATTCCGCCACTGTCGGAGCAAAATTTAACTGCTAAACGTGATTTTATAGTAAATTTTATGCTCTTTAATTTTTCTTTTATCATATTTTCTCGTAAATAACTTTTTTTTTTGAGATATTGCCAGAAAACTAAAAAAAGTCCGATTTTCATCCCTTTTAGGGGTGACAGGCACGGCGGATTACCGGTGGGGTTTGATGGTTTATTAGGGACCCCAATACAAACTTATACAGAGTGAGTTTTAAGTATGGAACGTGTCAATTATCTCAATTACGGCTTGCACGATTTTCATGAATGGCCGATAATATGGTAGTATTAACATGGTTGTCAGTTTTTTCGTTTTTCAGGAAATATCTGAAACTTTGTTTTTTCAAATGGATCACCCTGTATATTATGACATTTCTGGGTTCTGCAGAAAATTCTAGACATATTTCATGTGCAATGTCATATACCTATCTTCAACTGTTTCCGAATGATTGACAGTTGAAAATAGACTTTTTTACAACTTTGACAGACTGTAAAATCTAAACGGTCGATTTTACAGCAAAACCGATCATACATTCTTGTCTTAGTTTTTTATAAACTATCATTCGACACCAACTTTAAATTTAATCCATGATTAAAAAGTTCGGTTAAATTTAATCTCTGATTAAATTCATAGTTGGTATCAAATGATAACTTATGAAAAGCTACAAACAAGAATGTCAAATAGGTTTGGCTGTAAAATTCGCCGTTTAGGTTTCACAGCCTCTCAAAGTTGCAAAAAAGTCAATTTTCAACTGTCAATATTTCCGAAACAGTCGAAGATAGGTATATGACATTGTACATGAAATATGTTTAGAATTTTCCGCAGAACCCAGAAATGTCATAATATACAGGGTGATCTATTTGAAAAAATAAAGTTCCTGATAATTCTCGAAAAACAACAGATCTGACAACCATCGACCTGCCTAATTTGCTGACTGCTGATAAAGCATGTCCTAATTAATTGGTTTTTGATGTACAGGGTGATTTATTATTTTCACAATGCTTAAAAATTCGTTTATCCTCTGCTCTTGCTCCTCGAGTCCTAGAAAGTTCCGAACTGGAATTCTGGAATTGAAAAGATCTGTAAAGACTGCACCAGGATGGCCGTTTTTTTTTTTTTTTTTTTTTTTTTTCTTGACGTGGAACAAAAATGGTCATATCTGGAGTATGGGAGCAAGTGTTACTGTCTTCGGTTTTGGATGTGTCATCTCGCTCACTAGTTTCCCAGTGAACCTGGAAAGGTCTTTAGTGGCTTCTTTGGGTTTTCCAGTACCTGACTATTTTGCATTTGACGTTGCTACAGCTCCGTGATCAGCGGACCAGATCCAGAGCTGGAACGCTTTCCTCTAATTCTTCCCTACGTATAATATAACAGTTAACTTCAGCATCAACGTAGCCAGCGCCGGCCTTAGGGGGGTGCAGAGGTGCTAACTGCACCCGGCGGCAGAATTTAAGAGGCGGTAAATTGAGAAAATTAATAGAAATCATAAAAAATAAATCGAACAGTATTCAGAATAATATTTATCAGAAATTTAATAATTATTTATCAGCTCGGTAATGTAATTAGCAACATCGTCAACATTATGCACCGGCAATCCTCTGCTTTCTTCGCTTTCATTTTATCAAAATACTAGAATATTAGGTATTGTCAAAGACATTGTTACGAAAAAGTATTGACATCGCGGCGCCGGGATTCCAAAAAATTCAATTTGTTGCTCGTTTACGTCGGGCAGTGCGCTTTTTCCTAGAATTCCATTGTATTCAATGAGTGCAATTTCGACTATATGTCCCACCGAAAACTGTCAATGGCCTATATCTTGAAAACGGTAATCGATAAAAAAATAAATAAAAATCCGTTTGGAAGGGTGGAAGGGGGAACCAAAACAAGGTACTTTTCATCTCTCCCCGAACCACCTCTTTGGCCGTAGCCACCCTAACCTCAAAATCTTAAATGGCACTATGGGTCATGTGATACCTTGTTTGAAAGCTTTTCCAATTCTCTAAATGAATCTGCAAAAAAAATTATTCAGATTTAAATGTGACTCTACTTTTGAGCGGGTGGAACAGGTAAATGTGATTTAAAATCGATTTTATACAAAATAGATAACATAATGAAGAATTTCGAAGAAATCATCAAGATTTTATTTTTTTGAACCCCTTTCTCCTTTATGTACCAGACAGTGTTCACCCCCCCCCCCCCCCCCCACCCCCCAAGAGGGCAAAGTTTTTAACTAGAAGCATAAACCTTTCTAGCAAGGTATCACATGACCCATAGTACCATTTAAGATTTTGAGGTTAGGGTGGCTACTACCGGAGGGGTGATTCGGGGAGAGCTGAAAAGTACCTTGTTTTGGTTCCCTCCTCCAAACGGGTTTTTATTTATTTTTTTATCGATTACCGTTTTCAAGATATAGGCCATTGGCAGTTTTCGGTGAGACACCCGGTATAAATAACGCGTAGAAATAATTTAAGTTCATTGTAATTCGATTTTTGTCGTGTTTTAGTGAACCCGGAATCCGTAACAGTATTTATATTTATTTTCTAATTGTTCAAGGTGATAAAATGTGTAGAAAGGAAGATTATGCTTTTTGAGAACGACAAAAATTTTAAACAAACAGGAGAAACGCAATATAATCTTGCTGATGATGTATTTTTAACTTTAAAAACTAGGAACCTTTAAGAGGCGGTGGTATGTAAATTGCACCCGGCGGTAAATCAGGTGAAGCCGGCACTGAACGTAGCATTGAATTTTTCGATGGTGTTCTTTATGTCCTACGTATATAAAATTCAGCTTTTTTTTTTTCTCGATTGCAGATTACAGAACGACGTACCTGCAGCTCATCCTAGAAAACTTTCTATTCTTCCTGTGAAGACTTTTTCTTTAACATGTTCCTACCCTACTCAGTTCAGCTAATGTCCAAAATATCGGGAAAGATAGCAGTGATAAGCGGATGTATCAGTCCGGAACGACTCCAGATGCAATCTAGTTCAGCTAATGTCATACACTAGTACTGTTCGGTTTACATATCAACACACCCAATAGTATTCAGAATTAGGCTTCCTTGAGGGGTCATTTCTCTCAGATGAATAAAAACAAAATATACATCACCTAACTTATTGTGCCAAGCTATACACTGGACCCTACGAAAGGGCATTAATTTAGGTCAGACACATATGGTCCTCTCGTCTCGGGATATCAACTGGTAGGTAGGTACTCATAATGGTGTTTGGCAAGAGACTTTCTTGGGTGAGGTGGCTCTGACGAGAGAGACGTCCGGATTGGGTACGAGTGGTTGCGTCGGTATTTCATAAGGTGGTATCAGTTGAGGATTGATAATTTCTAAGACGATGCACAAAAAGGATGGTTCGCTTTATTTAATTTGTCACCACATATAAGTTCGGCAAGTTTGTTGAAATTTCAATTGTCTATTATTATTATTATTACTATTTTATTATCTGGGATATTACAGAAAAGATACGAACCATAAACTATTCACCTACGGCAAAATATGAATTTAAATATTGAAGGCGGAAAAGTTAAAAATGTATTCAGGTCGCAAAATAATGACCCTTCTCTCTCGCTTGCACGAGTAATAGAATGCGCTATCCAAATACAAAGGAATCGTTTTTTTTTTTTTTTTTATCTCGTGATACGGAATAATTTGGTTTTATAGTATCCATCTATTGCCACTATGACAATACGTTTTATTTTGGTATTGGTCAGAAAGACGGATGTAGTGTGGAAAAGAGAAATCCAAAAGTATTGAAGTTCAAAAAGAAGGGGACGGCGAAGAGTTTCCTCTTTGAAATTACGCAAATACCAGTGTACGAAAAAAATTCGGAGAGCATACACGAAACGAAAATGCCGTAGTGCAAAGGTTCCAACACAACTCAAATCTACGGGATGTTCACTTTTGACATATCATTGCTTCTTTATGTAGGTACCATTTATAACTTAAATAGAAAAAATCATACGTTATTCCTTTTATGTGAGTGGAGTAAAAAGCTCGATATGCCATTCAGGCTTCAACCCAATAGTGGTCAAGTCCTCGATCACTAAGTGTGTCAGTTTCTCATTCACCAACACTGTAGATTTATTATGTCTCACTTGCTGCTAACTGCGCCTGCATCTTGGTGTGTGAACTTCTCGCAAGATGTTCTCTAAAAATGTGAGGAGAATTAGGGCTATGTCTAACTTAATCAAGACTCCTGTGGATTTCCCTAGAAACTTCTTTTTCTTGCTGATTACGATCCCTGTCAGCAGAAGGGCCGGCTCTCAGGCCTTCCTTCTGGTATCTCTCTTGAATACTAATATCATACAAAAATCACACTGGCCTTAAACAGGAACAGCGTCATCGGCTCATTCGTTCTCTTGTCAGTCAATCAGTTGAGTGACTTCTCCATCTCCGAAATTTAAGCTTCTCAGGCCCTCCGCAAATAAATTCGTACAGCTTCATCTCTCCTTGTAGATGGTACGTGAAGTAGACCGAAAACAATATAGGTAGGTACTTGAAGTGAAGAGCAAATCTCGGATTACCTGGGACACAACCCCAACATGCGAATCTGGCTGGCAGGCCTGTGATGTTATGATATATGAACAAAGATATACACTTTGAAACAACAAGGCTTTGGAGATGTTAATTTTTTTCTTTTTAAACTAATTAACGACAATTTTTAAACGTCATGTGACACTCTGTTGCCGAGTAATGCCCCTTTGAATCTCAACAAAATATTCGTAAATATAAAAGGCTCTATTTGCGCCATTTGCGGAAATATACAAAGCTCAAATCAAAGCCTGCCTATTCGTGCAAATAGTTCTAAAATAAGTTTATAATAACCAGCAACTTATGCACCCTTTATAAATTAGATTTTAATTAGGTACCTAATGAAGCCTCTGATACAGACTGAACTTCAAACCCTGATTTTATGCATAAACATTAATTTATATTTGATGAACTAGGAAAGGAAATTCTTGGATTTATACTAATACTCCTTTTTTTCCCTTGGGTCATCCCTAAAAAAAATCCGCCTCGCTTCCTAATCCTAGGGTTTTTCGCATCGAATTTGAATTCACTTACTTCCTTTATCGATTTTTGTTGTTTGTAAAAAGATAGAGAGAGTTAGGCTTCAGCCTCTTGCATTAATAGAATAATTATCTGTTATTACCATTCTAACTTCAAAATTAATTATTTCCTCATTCATTTTTTGTTTGTGTGAAAATCAGTCGGGCAAAGCAATAATTCATCGCACAACCAGTATTTCATTTCCCAACAAAAAAGCTACTCGCCATTTATACAATTGATGGCAAATGGTAAAGCAAAAAAAACAAATGATAAGTTAACGAATCATTTTTCCATAGTAGATTTCTGATGGCACGGTTTTGGAACGAACCAATTATTTCTGGAAATTGACCCTCTGTCTAATATATATTGAATAAATTTATAAGTTATTTCTTTTTAGCTTGTGGTTCCCTAATTACCCTAGCCTCATACAACAACTTCAAAAATAATTGCATCACAGACGCAATAATAGTCAGTGCGACTAATGCTTTCACATCAGTTTACGCCGGGTTCGCAATTTTTTCCATGCTTGGATTTTTGGCCAATGAAATGGGTTTGCCAGTGGATGAAGTAGCTAGAGACGGACCTGGACTAGCATTTGTCGCTTACCCGGAGGCTATATTAAGATTACCTGGTTCCACTGTGTGGGCTCTTATGTTCTTTTTTATGTTATTCGTTTTGGGACTTGGAACACAGTTCGCAGGAGTCGAAGCTATTAGTTGTTGTATATTAGACAAGTAAGTATGGTTTATTTAAATTTTAATGTTTCCAAGTAAACATAAAAGATACCTTTTATGTTCTGGACACTTTCGAAATTCTCGAAATCTTCAGTGTGCGACAGAACGCTTCTATTTTTAATGAGATCCCCATCATACCTATATATTATAGTCCGGGGGCCGAGGACCTTTTTTCCAAATCATTAATAACAAGCTAGTTTTTTCAATGCAGCTTCATTTCACCGAGACGCCCAACTTTTTTCTCTTCGAAAATTGCGAAAACAGGTAGCTAACATACTGCGCAGGTGTAAAACATGTCAATTTGGTGACTATGAAAATTTAATTAATAACAGTTAGTTTTTCAGCTAAATGTTGAGATAATTTTATGAATAATTTGAAACAACATTTGTCCGACAAAATAAAGGGTTTGGTCTACGATGTCCCCCCCCTCAAACATGTAGCAATTACGTTGTTTAAAAAATGATTAATAACAAGTTGATTTTTTCAATGTAGGTTGGTAAATAATATTACAATTAAATGGTCACACTGTCCTACAAATAAACAGGTAGCTATTTTCAGTCCTACACTCAAAAGTTGTCGATTTCACGATTTAACTTTTTTCATTAATAACCGGCTAAATCTTCGTGAGTATCTTCATTTTGATAAGACGCCCAAATTTTCCAAAAACAGGTAGCTAACAGAGTGCGAAGGTGGAAAACATGTCTATTTGGTGATCATACAAATGTAAATAATAACAGTTAATTTTATAGCTGAATGTTGAGATAGTTTCATAAATAATATGAAACAACATTTGTCCGACAAAATAAATGGTTTGATCTAGGCTGTCCCCCTTCTCAAACATGTAGCAGATACGGTACATAAAAAATGATTTATAACCAGTTGATTTTTTTAATGTAGCTTAGCAAATATTACTACAATTAAATGGTTACACTGTCCTACAAATGAAGAGGTAGGTACATTTCTCCAGTCCTACACTCAAAAGTTGTCGACTTCACGGTAATACTTTATTCATCAATCACCGGACACCGGCTTAATCTTCTCGAGCATCTTCGTATTGATAATACGCCTAACTTTTCTATTGCGAAAAGTAGCAAAAGTAGTAGCTACTAGAGTGAGCATAAGTGAGTACATGTAAAATACCTTGATTAAGTGATTATGCAAATGTATTTATTAACAGTTAACAGTTAATTTTTCAGGTGAATAATGAGATAATTTTATAAATAATTCGAAATTCGATTTAAGCCACAAAATAAATGGTTTGGTCTAAAGTGTCCCCTTTCTCAAAAATGTAGCAATTACTAGCTCATAAAAAACGATTTATAACCAGTTGATTTTTTTACTGTAGATTGGTAAATATAACTACAATTGAATGGTCACATCGTCCTAAAGAGGTAAGATTTCTCAGCCCTACATTCCGTGAATTTCGAAAATAGCCTTATGCATATTATACGTAAATATACTACTCAAAACGAAATAAGGACCACTTTTAAGAGCAGGGTTTTCATTAAATTTTGTATAACCCTGGTAAAGTGACTATTTCCATTTACAATAAGTATAGATAAACAAATAAAGTGTGCACAAAAAATTTATATTGTGAATGGAAATAAACACTTTACCAAGGATATTCAAAATTCATTAAAAATAGATGGGTTTTCAAAAGTGGTCCTTATTTCGTTTGACTATGTACGGGTGGGCCAATTTGGACACTTCCTAATGGAAACACCCTTTATTTTTAGAGATAGAAAAAAATGAACCCCCCACCCTGAGGCTCAAATTTCATGAAATTTTGATTGGTGCAAACCGCTTTTTGATACCTTCAACCGTTTAGCCGCTAGAGGGCGATTTTCGATTTTGAGCAAACTTTTTTGTTTATGAAAATAATTGATTTCCGTAAAAACTTTCTGGAAGCACTTTTTAAAACAGAATTCAGGGACGTTCTCAGTTTTTTTCTATTTGGCGCCGATTTTGAGATATTGACTAAAGTCTGATTTTTTTCAATGGGACATCTTTTATATTAATAGCTCATTGAAGAGCTATAATTTTTCCGATTTTAATGATACAAAGTTCGATAGGTTTATCTCTAACCGTTTTCGAGAAAAAAAATTATTTTGGTTTTTGTCATAAGAAACAATGTATTAGAAAGAGACCTTTTTCATTTTCCTTACAGATATAAAGTACAGATATAAAGTCCTTTTCTAACACATTGCTTCTTATGAGAAAAACCGAAATTATTTTTTTTCTCGAAAACGGTTAGAGATACCCCTATCGAACTTTATATCATTAAAATCAGAAAAATCATAGCTTTGCAATGAGCTATTAATATAAAGGGTGTCTCATTGAAAAAAATCAGACTTTGGTCAATATCTCAAAATCGGCGCCAAATAGAAAAAAACCGAGAACGTCCCTGAATTCTGTTTTAAAAAGTGCTTACAGAAAGTTTTCACGGAAATCAATTATTTTCATAAACAAAAAAGTTATGAAGGATTCACAATATTGCTCAAAATCGAGAATCGCCCTCTAGCGGTTAAACGGTTGAAGATATCAAAAAGCGGTTTGCACCAATCAAAATTTCATGAAATTTGAGCCTCAGAGTGGGGGGTTCATTTTTTTCTATCTCTAAAAATAAAGGGTGTTTCCATAAGGAAGTGTCCAAATTGGCCCACCCTGTACAGGGCTTTCATTTCAAAACTTGCCGCTCACGTTATCTGCGTAAATAGAAAGATTTCTAGAAATCGCCGAAACATGTCTACAAATTTATTGAGGGGGTGCGTTAATTTGTTGACGTGTTCCGGCGATTTCCAGAAATCTGTCTCTTTAGGCAGATAACGTGGGTGGTAAATTTCGAAATGAAAGCCCCTGTATGTACATATGTACGTATACAGATGCGTGTATAACAGTATACAGAGTGAGTTTTATGTATGGAAACGCCCAATTATCTCAAAAACGGCTTGCTCGATTTTTATAAATTTTGGTATGTGAGGGTATTGTTATATGGCCGATATTATCGTGCCATTTACATGGTTGTCAGATCATTCGATTTTTGGCAACTATTAGGAACTTTGTTATTTCAAATGGATCACCCTGTATATTTTTCAGTTTTCGTAATCCCTGAATAATACTGAATATTTTTCATGAAATGTTTCCTATACCCAAATGCCTTAATTTAGGAATTATAGCTACATTTACATTAAAAACCGCAAAAGTTGAAATAATTCATTGGCTTGTCCCGCGTGATGAGAGCTCGTCGCGGGAGCGTCTCGTCATGTCTGTGCACACCTTAAGATCTCTATGACTACAAAAATAATAGCTTTCACGTTTCAGTAAATTATTATTTGTCAGTTTTCATTGAATGTGATAATGAATCGTTTATCTGAAAAAGAACGAATTGAGATTTTGATGATATTGGGATATGGTGATAGGCGTAGAAGTCAACAAGAAACGTGTGATATTTTCAATGATTTATATCCCAACCGCAATCCCATTACAAAATCAACTGTTAGTAAATTGCTTAAAAAGTTTACCCAAACTGCTGGAGTAAAAGATCTACCCAAATCAGGGCGCAGGAAGACTAAATCAACTGACAACAAATCTCTAGATGTTTGTGTCATGTTAGAAAGACGATCCTCACTTGAGTACTAGGCAAATATCCAGGGAACTTGAAGTTTCTCAAACAACCGTGATGAGAATTCTGCATGGTAATAAATTCCATCCATACAAAGTGAGGTTGGTTCAGGAGTTGTCAGATGACGATTTTGATAGACGTGAGGAGTTTGCCGATACAATGATGAGAAAATGTTACGATCCAAACAATCCAAATTTTTTAAATAATGTTATGTTTAGCGATGAGGCCACTTTTCTTATCAATGGCAACGTAAATCGGCATAATTGTAGATACTGGTCTCGTAACAATCCTCATTGGATGCGTGAATCCCACACCCAATATCCCGAGAAACTGAATGTATGGGCTGGAATAATAGGCGACAGAATAATTGGACCGTTTTTTATTGAAGGAAACTTGAATGGTCCCGCGTATTTACGTTTATTGGAAGATAGTATTATACCTGAGTTGGCTCGGTTATTTCCAAATCCAAGTGAGTATTTTCAATTGCCTTTAAAATTAAAAAAAAAAATAATTTATTGAAACTTTCAGACAATAACAATATTCCCCAAAACAATATTTGGCTGCAACAAGATGGAGCTCCACCCCACTATGCCCGTGAGGTGAGACAATACCTAAATCGTTTGTTTCCCGGAAGATGGATTGGAAGGCGTGGATCTATCGAATGGTCTCCTCGATCACCCGACATGAATCCTCTAGACTATTTCCTATGGGGCCACTTGAAAAACACTGTTTATAAAACAAAACCTCTCAATATTGAGGAATTGAGAGATAGAATCACCAACGAGATAAGAAGAATAGAGCAGACAGGGATGTTGCAAAATGTATTGCAAAGTTTTAAAAATCGCATGGCTTGTTGTCTGGAAGTCAACGGACAACATTTTGAGCAGCTGCTGTAATGGGTTGGATAAATTTAGATTTTTCAACCCTCGTTGGGTTCATCAGATCACAATCCCAACTCCGCAACCTGTGAACTAGCTATCAAACCATGGTTCAATAAAAACTGCTCAACAGCGGGAAATTATAAAAATGCTGCTTATTGCAAATGGCATCGTAATCCGACAGCCTAAAATCTCAATACATTCTCACGACTAGAAACCACTGTAAGCAGACCAATGGCGAAGAAGAAGAAAAAAAGGCAAAAAAACAGTTCGGAGAAGTGATCAATTAATAGCTCCTGTCGAGTGCCAAGGCACCAGCACAAAAGCTAGGGGCGCTCTATAGAGCATCCCTCGAAAACTGTTGCTGACCTGGAGTTGACCAAATACCATTAATAGCCATAAACCTCGGGAAAAAGTGGTAGACCTATCACTATTCTATCGATATCATTACAGCAGGTGCTCGAATTAACTGACACTTGTGACTCTGCCCAGAGTTGTACCAAACAGATACACTCGTCAACACAAGCAGCTCATGAACATACAATTCAGCTGCGAACACCTAGGACGTCACTGTTCAGAAGTCAATTTGGTCTGGAGGGCTGCCTAGCTCTGGAATGAACTTCCAAAGGCATGAATACTTTTCTCGAAAACTATAACCTACAGCGCAATGTCCATCGACATCTCAGTGTACACGCCGCTCGTTGAGTGGTAAAGGATTTTCCGTTTGTGTGTGAGCCAACCATGAAAAAGTAATATTAAGATAGCTATTGTTTTCAGTTAATTTAGTTTTCCTGCGCCCAGATTTGGGTAAATCTTTCATTGCATCAGTTTGGGTAAACTTTTTTACCAGCTTACTCACAGTAGATTTTGTAATGGAATTTCGGTTGGGATATAAATTATCTTGTGGACTTCTACGCATACAACCATATCCTAATAAAATTAAATTAAATTAAAATCTTAATTCGTTTTTTTTTTTTCAGATGAACGATTCATTATGGTATTCAATGAAAACTGACAAATAATAATTTACTGAAACGTGAAAGCTATTATTTTTGTAGTCATAGAGATCTTAAGGTGTGCACAGACATGACGAGACGTTCCCGCGACGAGCTCTCATCACGCGGGACAAGCCAATGAATTATTTCAACTTTTGCGGTTTTTAATGTAAATGTAGCTATAATTCCTAAATTAAGGCATTTGGGTATAGGAAACATTTCATGAAAAATATTCAGTATTATTCAGGGATTACGAAAACTGAAAAATATACAGGGTGATCCATTTGAAATAACAAAGTTCCTAATAGTTGCCAAAAATCGAATGATCTGACAACCATGTAAATGGCACGATAATATCGGCCATATAACAATACCCTCACATACCAAAATTTATAAAAATCGAGCAAGCCGTTTTTGAGATAATTGGGCGTTTCCATACATAAAACTCACTCTGTATGTGTTATGTGTATGTACACATACCTACATTTATGTCGATGGTTTCCATTCGCATCGACGCGCATGCTCGTAAATAACACAGTATCGTAGTATAGGGTGATTCAAAAAGCGCGCCAGATTTGAATTGCTCGAAAAAGAGTTTTGGCATGCCATCAAAGTAGAGGGGGCCATGCCCTTTGTCATTTTCCATACCCAGATGGAGAAGGTTTGATCCAACCGGGGCTGCGTTCAGGAATGGCTACAGCCAAGCCAAAATTGGCATTTTGCGTTCGAGTTCGGCTCCAATCCTACGTGGTTCGGCATTACCAGGTGGAGGGGGAAAAGTAGGTTTTGGCATTAGCATTGCCGTCTTTGAACGCACCCCGGTTCATCTTAATTCTAAAGATATTTAAAAAAAATAGAGCTCCTTTTTTAATGTATTAAATCTGGCGCGCTTTTTTGCTGTATATAGGGTGAATACAGGGTGTTTTCTAAGTTAGAGTTTTTCTTTTTAAATAACGTGGAACTTAAAAAAATACAGGAGTTTTTCCAAATAATATTTTCCCGAGAGCTCAAAAATAAAAGAGATAGGTATGTTCATTTCAAATAATATCAAAAATCAAATATTTTAATAATTATATTTTTCAAAATACAAAAGGTAAAATTCTTGAATTTAATCTTTTTTTTCCAGAAATCTGTCTCTTTACGCAGATAACGTGGGTGGTAAGTTTTGAAATGAAAGCCCTGTACATATTTACGTATAATATGCATAAGGCTATTATCGAAATTCTCGAATGTAGGGCTGAGAAATCTTACCTCTTTAGGACAATGTGACCATTCAATTGTAGTTATATTTACCAAACTACAGTAAAAAAATCAACTGGTTATAAATCGTTTTTTATGAGCCAGTAATTGCTACATTTTTGAGAAAGGGGACACTGCAGACCAAACCATTTATTTTGTGGCTCAAATCGAATTTCGAATTATTTATAAAATTATCTCATTATTCACCTGAAAAATTAACTGTTAACTGTTAATAATTACATTTGCATAATCACTTAATCAAGGTATTTTACATGTGCTCACTAATGCTCACTCTAGTAGCTACTATTTTTGCTACTTTTCGCAGTAGAAAAGTTAGGCGTATTATCAATACGAAGATGCTCGAGAAGATTAAGCCGGTGTCCGGTGATTGATGAATAAAGTATTACCGTGAAGTCGACAACTTTTGAGTGTAGGACTGGAGAAATGTACCTCTTTATTTGTAGGACAGTGTAACCATTTAATTGTAGTAATATTTACTAAGCTACATTAAAAAAATCAACTGGTTATAAATCATTTTTTATGTAACGTATCTGCTACATGTTTGAGAAGGGAGACAGCCTAGATCAAACCATTTATTTTGTCGGACAAATGTTGTTTCATATTATTTATGAAACTATCTCAACATTCAGCTACAAAATTAACTGTTATTATTTACATTTGTATGATCACCAAATAGACATGTTTTCCACCTGCGCACTCTGTTAGCTACCTGTTTTGGAATTTTCGCAACAGAAAATTTGGGCGTCTTATCAAAATGAAGATACTCACGAAGATTTAGCCGGTTATTAATGAAAAAAGTTAAATCGTGAAATCGACAACTTTTTAGTGTAGGACTGAAAATAGCTACCTGTTTATTTGTAGGACAGTGTGACCATTTAATTGTAATAATATTTACCAACCTACATTGAAAAAATCAACTTGTTATTAATCATTTTTTATGCAACGTAATTGCTATATGTTTGTGGGGGGGGACATCGTAGACCAAACCCTTTATTTTGTCGGACAAATGTTGTTTCAAATTATTCATAAAATTATCTCAACATTTAGCTGAAAAACTAACTGTTATTGATTAAATTTTCATAGTCACCAAATTGACATGTTTTACACCTGCGCAGTATGTTAGCTACCTGTTTTCGCAATTTTCGAAGAGAAAAAAGTTGGGCGTCTCGGTGAAATGAAGCTGCATTGAAAAAACTAGCTTGTTATTAATGATTTGGAAAAAAGGTCCTCGGCCCCCGGACTATTAATGTATGTTATCAATAAAAGAGGGCATTTTCATAAAATTGGCTACCAGTCATATTTTTTTGTATTCCTCAGTCTGCTGAGGAGACACAAAGCAGTGATATATGACTGATCGTGGAGCCAATTATAATCAACAACAATTTCATAGAATGGGAATAATTATTTACCCATGGTGTACCAAATTTTTGTCCAAATCCAAGTAACAAGGATATAGATGAGACCCAATTATCATTCTCACTTTGTACAAAGAAATGTTAAACGGTCTTTCCAAAAGCGTACATCTATTTGAACTCAAAACTGATACAAGAGAATGCGCTTGAACTTAAAACAATATAATAAATTTCATTAAAAGCCGGTTTACAGCTCCTTATTTTTTGAATTGAATCGTCAGGCTATAAAACCCATTCTCCGATAACCCAAACGCAAACGAATATTTTGATCTTTCAATGCAATTCATCAGGAATGAACATCACACAAGCGCATAAAAAATAACAGATACATCGAAGTTTACTTAAAATTTCTTGGAGTAGCTCTGGAGTGGAAGGGGTTGAAAGGGTTAAGTTGTTGCCGTCATCGATCTTGTTGACCTGTTTAAGTGAAGCCAGAAAATTTTATACTGAGGATTTTTTTTTTCCAATAAAGGTGGCAAGGTATTCGCAAATACAAATCCTATCTCAACCTTGTAATTTGTACAGTATGTTTCCTATTAGCCATCCCAATGTGTTTTTCTGGTGGTATATACCTATTTACTCTGATGGAATGGAATACTGCTTCTTGGGCTATAATGTTAATCGGTAAAGCTATAATTGATAAACAACGAATAATTTTTCAACAAAATCCAATTTTTCAGGTTTTGGAGAAGTAGTAGCCGTATCTTGGTGTTATGGCTGCTTCGAATTCATCGGTCACATGGAGGACATGAGTATGGACATGAGGAAAGTTTGGAGGGGTTACTGGTGGTTTTCATGGGTTGTAATAACTCCTTTAACACTTTTGGTGAATATATATTTATTTTATAATATTTTTATTAATCTAAATTCACTTCTAGGGAATTTTTCTATTCCAAATGATTTATTACATCCCAGCATCTTATGGAGACTATGTGTTTCCTCTGTGGGCTGATGCACTTGGTTGGCTTATTGGAATTTCAACGCTAGTGCCATTCTTTGCACTTCTCGTTTACGTTTTAATTAGAAAGGAGCATGTAAGAATTTTAGAAACATGTTAATTTCAGAGGAAAAATGGTGGGACAAAATACTTTTGGTTAAACAACCCGAGCGACAATTTATTTTAGATATGTATCTTCTAGTTGAGCGCGTTTTTTTTTTGGAACCCAATTAGTTGCGGAAAACAAAAAGCAAATAGAGTGTAACATTGAGTGTACGATCTAGTTCGCCAATGGTGCGTATATCTATTTGCTAAAACTAGAAAAAAAGCCTTTTGTCTCAGAAAAAAATAAATAAAAAAAATCCATCCGAACGGACTATTTTATAGCAATATTAGTGATATACCTACCAAAATTTGTAGGAAATTTATTCTTCGCGTTACTCACAAATCTACAAATAGATAATAGAAAAAAAGAATTGAGATTTTTTTTTTTTAATATGCGCTCTCAAACTCTGCACCCCGATTTCAAAATGCATTACCGCTCAAAGCAAAGAGTAGCAAGCTACTTAGTAATACAGGTTGGAGTACAAATCTTTTAACATGTGATAATATGGCCCATTCCAAACTAAAAAACTCCTAATAATAGTCGCACATGGACCTAACTGGGTACCCGAAGGCAATTTTACTAGATATAAACTATTACAGCACAAGACACGCCCTCAACTTCGTCATTGCAAAATATAAACGGCCTCAGCGCGATTTTACTAAATATAAACTATTAGAGCACAAGAGACGCTAGCATTGCAAAATATAATCGCGCTCAGCACAACGTGGCTGATTCATATAAATAAATCGATTGAAAAAGTGCTGTTGTGATGGCACACGTATTGTTTAGGAAACAATAATCTATGCAGTTTTGGCAAAGTTTTTTTCACTATCCATTGTGTCTTTGTTATTATTGAAAATTCATTCTCCCACTCATTGCAACGCAAGTTGAAGTCGTCGGAATCGCACTCTTCATCAGATTCCCCTTTTAACTTTAAGCGGAGTATGTTGTAATTGTTTTGATTTTAATGCCCGATTATATTAGGTCTGTTTCTGCAGAATTCATTTTTTTTTTTTCATTGGTTGAAGCTAGTTTTCTGACTGCTTTCAACCAATGAAATTCGCTCTGACTGGTTTGTGATTTCTGCACAAACAGACCTATTAACATTTTAATTGTTACACAATGGATTAATAAGTTGAATTAAATTATCCATAATGGAAACACACAACACTAACAATAATTATTAACTTCTAACAAGTACAGTTTGAGGACTTGAGGTTGGATCTGCCACGTCATCTACAAACGATTAGATTTTGCAGGAATGTGCTGATCGCGATTATATTTTGCAATGACGTCAAGGGCTAGCGTCTCTTGTGTTCTAATAGTTTATATTTAGTAAAATCGCGCTGAGAGCGATTATATTTTGCGATGACGAAGTTGGGGGCGTGTCTTGTGCTGTAATAGTTTATATTTAGTAAAATCGCTACCCGGAGAACATGGACATTCTTGAATTCGGAACAGGGGGGTACCGACTGAGCGGGTACGTGATTTGTAAAAAAAAATGTGAAAAAAGAAAGAGGCACGATTAACATTGAAAATAGGCTCCCGTGAATTTCAACCAAATTTTAATAATTTTAGGGTATCATCATTGCAAAAAAAAATTTGAAATTTAAAGAGGATCGTATGTCTGTGATAGTAGATATAGTACATATAGCTTGTCAAAGTACGTAGGTCCTGCTATGCTTTGCATGGGAAATATCCCTACGTAGATTTTCTTGAATATCTCGAAAAATACTAATCCGGTTTTGATCTTTTTGGAGTTTGATACCTACAAAAGAACTCCAAAAAATATAAAAATATAAAAATATAAAAATATAAAAATATAAAAATATAAAAATATAAAAATATAAAAATATAAAAATATAAAAATATAAAAATATAAAAATATAAAAATATAAAAATATAAAAATATAAAAATATAAAAATATAAAAATATAAAAATATAAAAATATAAAAATATAAAAATATAAAAATATAAAAATATAAAAATATAAAAATATAAAAATATAAAAATATAAAAATATAAAAATATAAAAATATAAAAATATAAAAATATAAAAATATAAAAATATAAAAATATAAATATATCATCAGTCAACACACTGACACCTAACCAGAAGATTTAAAAATTGTTATTATTAGCTATAATTTGACTATTAACTGTAAAGAAAGCAACAAATTATAAATTTATCGAATTGCAAATAGATCGCGCTTAAATTATTGGTATCAGTTTTATAGTTAACTGCCTGAGTTTTATATTTATTGGTAAATAACATTTCCAGAATTTTTCGCTTTTTCCAGTTTACCTCTTTTATTCAAACTGACGGATTGTTAAAATCGAAATGATGGTCACTCTCAAAATGATGAGTCGCCAATGCCATTTTTTCTTTTCTATGTTAATTTTTTTATTTTTTTTTATTTGTCAAACACATTGTGTTTATTACATTACAATCTAGTCAGTAAGACTAATTAGCAATTTTGTTTTAATCTAATTTACTATAAAGTTTACAATTCTTGAGGTTCACTCAACAGTTTTCCCCACTTTGCTTAAACTTTAAATCACAATTTTGATGTGTTTATAGCACCATTTTGTTGTGTTTTTCAATTTCAGTTCACTAGCTCGAACGGCTTCACCCTTCTCAGTCTTCTAACTAGCTCAGTGTTGTCTAGGAGCTCAATCACTTCCACATTCACATGCCGATGTAGTCTATCTTCATGGCTTTTTGCGTACTTTCTTATAGTCTCTGTTACAGTATCAATTCCTAGTTCCCGATGTAGATCACTATTTCGAACGTACCAAGGTGCATTAACAATGTTTCTTAGTACTTTATTTTGGAATCTTTGAATAACTTGTATGTTACTATCTTTAGTGCAACCCCAAAGTTGAATTTCATATGCCCATACTGGTTTCAGTATTTGCCTATAAAGCAGTAACTTGTTATGTATGGTTAAATTGGACGTCCTTCCAATTAGCCAGTACATTTTTCTATACTTAAATTCAAGCTCTTGCCTTTTTTTCTTAACATGTGCTTTCCAGCGCAATTTCGCATCAAGAGTCATACCAAGATATTTAGCTTGATTTGAATATGGTATAGGGGTGTCATTAATTGTGATTTGTATGTGATTTACGTTTTTGTTTGTAAAATCAACGTGAATTGATTTGGTTTCATTCAATTTTATTCGCCATTTTTTGGTCCAATTTTGAACTTCACTGACAGCGTTCTGCAGTTTTTCTGTTGATTGTTCAATACTTTTTTCCACTGTAATTAAACCAGTATCGTCGGCGAATGTTGCTAAATGACAATTTTCTGGTTTTGGGATGTCGCATGTAAATAATAAATATAAGTAGGGACCTAGCACGCTACCCTGAGGTACACCTGCTTTTATTTTTCGTAAATTTGACTCAAAATCTTCCTGTTTGACTCTGAAATGTCTATCACACATATATGATTCCAAAATATCAGAATATTGTTTTGGCAGAAACAGCTTTAGTTTATAGTTTAAGCCTTCATGCCAAACTTTGTCAAATGCTTGCGCTACATCGAGGAAAACTGCGGAACAGACTTTTCCCTCTTCCAGCGATTTTTCTATTAAATTGGTTATTCTGTGTACTTGGTCGATCGTAGAGTGCTTGTCGCGGAATTCAAATTGATGAGTTGGAATGATTTCCTGTCTTTCTATGATCGGTTTTATTCTTTTTAGCAGTATCTTTTCATAAAGCTTAGATAAAACGGGCAATAATGATATTGGCCTATAAGATGACACATCATGAGGTGGTTTTCCGGGTTTTGGTATCATGATAACTTCTGCTACTTTCCAAAGTTTAGGTACGTATTTAAGCCTAAAGGACGCATTGAAAAGGTTGCATAATTTCACAATAGCTTTCCTGGGGAGTTGTTTTATTACTTCCCCAGTAATTAGGTCACATCCTGGAGCTTTTTTCGGACTGATTTTTGTTTGATCTCTGTTAATATTTCTCTTAGTGAAGTAGGCTTAATGTTGCCTTCTTCTTGATAAGGTTCATTCCAGGGAAGATTTTCATCCTGTGCTTCGTTAGGCTGGAATGTCTTTTCTAAATGACTTGCAAAAAGTTCTACTTTTTCTTCGTTACTTCTTGCTTATTGCTGATTTGACTTTCTTATGGGTGGAATTTGGGTAACTGGTCTTTTAAGGCCTTTAGTTGCTTTCCAAAGACAATAATCAGTGCTTTTGTCGCCGGTGATTTCAGTAAGGTAATTGTTAATAGAGTCACTTTTGATTTCTTGAATTTCTCGCCTTATGCGCTGCGTTATATTGTTGATAATTGTTTTGTGTATGTTAATAATTCGAAAATCAGATTATTGGTGTTGATATAATCTTTTTGAGAGCTTTTGTCCCTATATACAATCTGTCACAATCAATCCTATAAACTAAGTTATAACTGTCACAGATAGCGGTTTTGTCTTTGGTTTTAGTAAATAAGTCACCTACTCTCTTGTTTGTGTAAGGAACCGGAACCACCCTAACGTTATCTTGTGTTTGTAAGATTTTTGACAACTTAGTGCTTAAGTCCGGAATCAATGGAATATTGAAAAACTTAACAGAAGATTGAACCTGATTAGGAGATGGAACACTATAAGCATTGTTACACAAAATAGTATTCACTAAAGATAGAGGGTAGTGATTTTGTTTACAAAATACCCTTATCCGTTCAAAATTCGCATCCATATATTGAGGGTCAGATAATTGCTTTACCCTATGTTTGAGTAACTTAACAATAGCTACCTTATGTGTGATGCTATGTGATGAATTAAAATTAATAATCCTTCCTGATGATGTTGGTTTTTGATACCAATCAGTAGTAAGCTTATCAGCATCCCTGATGAAAACGACATCAAGGAAGTATAGCCTCAATCCTTTCTCTTTTTCGAGGGTAAATTAGAGATTCTGATGGAATTTATTAGATACATTTAAGTTTACGAGAATGACAGTAATGAGGAGCTCGTTCATAACCATGTTAGCCAAAATAGGTGAAACCGGCTTACCCATTGCCGTACCAAAAATCTGTTTGAAAAATTTGTCTTTCCATCACAACAGTGCAATTACCCTTATCCGCACGAGTCACTATCAAGTTAGGATTATTTTTGGAGAAATTTCTTGGTTTGATAATAGTCTTTATCGCGGTGGTCTTATCTTTTTCCCTGTTTTAAGCTGTTGTGGTGATTCGTGATGATATTGGTGCAGGTTGCTCTAATACAGTCCTTATCTGTGTCTTCTGGTAGGTTCTGGATGCAATATTCAGTATCCTTGATGAGCTGAAAAATTGGAAAGTCTCTAGTGTTATAGGGCAAAGCAAATGATGGTTCCAAGGCTAGCAATTCCTTACTGGAAGGTGGTATTCTTGTTGTGCTAAGGTTAATCAGCCACTTTTTAGGAGTTATTAGGATTTTCTTCTGTTGTGAAATCAAGTTAAGTAACTTGTTATACAATGTGTGAATTTTGCATTAGAAAATATACGTTCGTATTTCTTTTTAACAGTTCTTAGAAATTCTTTATAATCCAGATCACCTAAAAATCCTCTAGCCTGGTTGATCCCTATTTCTATCTGTGATCTTAATTTCGCTGTGGTGTGGTGTGCAATTTTGATTTCTAAGTTAAGAATGTCATTTTTTAGCTTGTAAGTGAGCCTAATAACTTCGCGTATAAAAGTGTTTTTATAATTAATAAGCGAATACATAAACATTTGACATTATGCTGGATATGGTTGGGAAAGATTCCCTTCTGTAGCATTGTAGCAAGAAAATATTGTTATTTTCAGATTTAGCCAGCTTGATCTTATATAAATATAGTGTCTACTTGCTTACACTCTGAAGCACCATAGTTGTTCCTTATATCCGCAAAAAACCTAGACAATGGGATTTCCACAACAGGAGAAAGTCCTAATAACTCATGAAAACTGGCTGATTAACCTTAGCACAACAACAATACCACCTTCCAGTAAGGAATTACTAGCCTTGGGCCCATAATTTGCTTTGTCCTATAACACTAGCAGAGACTTTCCAATGTTCCAGCTCATCAAGGATACTGAATATTGCATCCAGAAGACACAGATAAGGACTGTATTACAGCAACCTGCACCATCACGAATCACTACTACAGCTTAAAACAGGGAAAAAGATATGACCAACGCGATAAAGACTATTATCAAACCAAGAAATTCCGCAAAAATAATCCTAACTTGATAGTGACTCGTGCGGATAAGGGTATTTGCACTGTTGTGATGGAAAGACAAGACTATGAGTGTAAAATGAAACTATTGTTGGATGATGATAGCACATATCTAGAATAACCCAACAATCCCACAAACCTTTTCGAAAATAAGACGAATGAATAAATTGTTTAAAAAATTAGTATCATGTAATGAACTCAACTTTACAAGGGCGGTTTAAAGGGGGGGGGGGGGTAATTACCCTTCCTCCCCAACACTTAAAAATAAAATTTCAACAAAAGACAAGTTCTATAAAGTAAAGCATAAAAGGTATTCTATAAATTGATAACCTCACCAGTATCGATGTACAGGGTATTTGATTATATTTGGAACCATACCTACAGCCTTTACTATGTAAGATAGAAAAAAAAATTGAATACAAAACTTGACAGTTTTTTTCTATATTTTCTTCTAACGTTATCAGAAAAAACAAAATCGTATCGGAAAATGGAGAAACTTAGACAACTTCGACTTTTTTCAATGGAACACCCTGTATATTTTGCGATAAAATGAAAGATATTTTCTTCCCGATTCCAAAAATATATATATTGATCATATTTGAGTGAGCCGTTCCAGACATATTTTGGCTTAAATTATAAATAATTTGCAAAGAAATCTCATATAAGGATGTCAAGACATTTAAATCTTTATAACATTTCTTTGGATTTTATTTATAATTTAAGCTAAGGATCTCAAATGAATGAAATGTGTTGGTTTTTGTTGACACATGCAAACTGCGATTTTTTGAAAAAAAATTCAAATATTTCAAAAAGGGTCGAGTTTGAGTATAGGTACTTCCTCACCAAACGTATGTAGAATTTTTAGAACAATCCAATAATTTTCTAAAATATAGGGTGTTCCATTTAAAATAACAAAGTTCTTTCGCATACCTCATTTACGGAGCACCCTGTATATTCAAAAATATTTTTAACTAATGGACCTTAGATTATCAAACAACTTTGTTATTTAATTTTTTTTTTTCTTGCATCACCCTGAAAGGCGATATCGTCTACTAAGTGTACACCCTGTATAACTATTTTGCCGGCATTGAGATACATTTCGCTTCCGGCGGGGAGCCTTTCGACACTTGATGATTTTCCCGTCATCCATTACCCCCCCCCCAGAAAATCATCTATGGACCGCCACTGACTCGACAACGATTCATTAAAAAAGTTCATTAGCCATAATTCTTTTCCACCAAAAATCTATGAACTACCCAAGATCCACAAACCAAACACACCTCTTAGACCTGTTGTATCGTGTGTAATGTCGCCCACCTATGACATCTTCAGTTTCGTAGCCAAAATCTTGAATGACTTGGTTCCAACGTTTCAATATGTGGTGAATAACTCCTTCAAGTTTGTGGAAAAACTTAGAACTCACAGAATTCTAGCTGGGTACATTCTTGTTTCTCTTGATGTCACCTCATTGTTAACACATATTCCCAAAGATTTAGTAGGTACTAAATCTTATAGAGAAACATTGGGAAAATATTGAGACGTTCACTAGGGAAGGGTGGGCCACGATGAGACAGTTTTCACTATTTTGGGGATGAAATTGGTGATTTCAATTTTTTCGTTACAGTTACGTGAGCCTCGTAATCTTTCATATAATTGCACACATTTTTTGATTAAATTATTAACATAATATTATTTATTTCATTTTATGGAGGAATTTAAAAAAATCTGATTTTGTCTCAAGGTAGCCCATGAGCCACTTTGAGACATACATAAAAACCAAAAAAAAAGGAGAAATATAAGGTTTATTCAAAAATATTATATCGTAACGAGGGCGGTAAGATAACTTTTCTTCATTATTTTGTGTTTTTCAACAAATCTTGCAAATGTTTGATATTTCACGTTGTTTTTCTCTGCTGGATTCCTTAAATGTCACACATCTTTGACAGCACTTTTCATTGATTCGGCACTAAACAGGCCTTTTTGAGATTTTCTTTTGCGTCCCCGCGACATGCCTTGAACAAAATATTTTTTTCTCGACATTTGAGGCACGTCTCCAGGTGGCCCAAACTTCGTGTCTCATTATAGCCCATGGTAGGTCTGAGTTACAAACCGCATTATTTTGGTAAAGCGTGAAAAAAATCGACTCGTAATATCTCCTAATCAGGTTCAATCTTCTTATATTTGGTTTTTTAAAATTCCATTGATTCCGGGCTTAAGCACTAAATTGTCAAAAATCTTACTAACACAAGATAACGTTAGGGTGGTTCCTTATACAAGAAAGTAGGTGACTTAAGTATTTACTGAAACCAAAGACGAAACCGCTATCTGTGATAGTTCTAACTTAGTTTATAGGATTGATTGTATTCATTGTGACAGATGGGAGACTATCATTATATCAACACCAATATGATTGTCGAATTATTAATATTGATAAAAAATAAAAAACTGCATTGGCGACTCATTTTGAGAGTGACCATCACTCCGATTTTAACAATCCGTCAGTGTGTATAAGAGCGGAAGACTGGAAAAAGCGAAAAGTTCTGGAAATGTTATTTATCAATAAATATAAAACCCAGGCAGTTAACTATAAAACTTGTACCAATAATTTGAGCGCCGCATCTATTGCAATTTGATAAATTTATAATTTGTTGCTTTCTTTATAGTTAATAGTCAAATTATAGCTAATAATTACAATTTTCAAATCTCCTGGTTAGGTGTCACTAATGCGTTGACTGATAATAATTAATTTACCATTGTTTTGCTTATATTCTTGTGATCTTGTCCTTCTAGTTTTTCTATTTTTTATATATTTTTTATTTTTATGTTTTTATATTTCTATATTTTTATATTTTTATATTTTTATATTTTTATATTTTTATATTTTTATATTTTTATATTTTTATATTTTTATATTTTTATATTTTTATATTTTTATATTTTTATATTTTTATATTTTTATATTTTTATATTTTTATATTTTTATATTTTTATATTTTTATATTTTTATATTTTTATATTTTTATATTTTTATATTTTTATATTTTTATATTTTTATATTTTTATATTTTTATATTTTTATATTTTTATATTTTTATATTTTTATATTTTTATATTTTTATATTTTTATATTTTTATATTTTTATATTTTTATATTTTTATATTTTTATATTTTTATATTTTTATATTTTTATATTTTTATATTTTTATATTTTTATATTTATATAATTTTCGCAACATAATTTTTTTGAGGTACCTATGTAAACTTCAATTTTTTTGTTAGCACTTTTTTGATGTGCCTAAGATACATATATTTTAACCCTGATGAACTTCTAAACTGTTGCGCGAAACGTTGGTAAAGATTTAACAGGCCTTTTATTTTTCTTGTCCTAACCGACCCTTTATTATTATTATTATTATTATTATTAATATAAAATCTACAATAGGTAATTAATTACTTTTAATTTTCCAGGTTGGCAGAGAACTTTTCCACCACACAAAGCACTGGAAACCACAATCTGATGTAACTGAAAGTCGACTATCTCTCTCATCAGAAAAAACTCAGCCCGCTTGATTCCAGAAATATTTAATAAACCGTAAAAAGTTGGCCTTTTGTTTTATCTTTTAAGCTTTCCAAGGAAAGTTTCCAGAATCACCGTGAATTGCAGGAAATAAAATGATCGTTTTTATTTTTACTTTTTTGGATGTTCATATCTAAATGAGATGTTCGCTATTCAGCCAGCGAGCGGATTTAGTGCTTTCGATTTGGGAAATCCTTCCAAAATTGGTAGGCTATATTAAATATGAATTAGTTAATTTATTTCACGAAACAACTAATCCTGAAAAGGAAGAGATATTTAATTTTAAAATAATATAAATTTAGCCTCATTAAAGGAAATTGAAATTTTTTAAAAAAAAAGACATAAGCAGTGATTAAAGCCCCAAGTTTATTAGAAGAAATATTAATTTAATTTCTCCAGAGTGTCGTATTGCATGCTGCAGTTGCCTGTCATGTCATTAATTTATATTAATGTAGCTAGGACAGAAAATTAACATGCTTTAACCTTGATGGTATTTTCGTAAATATATCATTGCCTGATTATTCCGCCGACACTTACAGTCGAGCGAATATGTTTTCTTCTTCAAATAATTTTTGGGTAGATTAATAACCAAAATGATACGTCGGAATGAAGACTTAAATCAAAGAAGTAAATTAGCATTTTGAAGCCTATACGGCCTATTATTTCTTAATGAATGCAAGTTACCCGAATTTTTACTCTATATACCTACTTAGTAGGTACTTAGTCATTATATTCATTGTTTTAACTGAGCATTGAACAAACACCTTATTTTGTAATAAAAAAAAAGTGTTGCCATGAGCAACGTTGTCGTTTTCATGACGAATTTAATTTGAGAAAAACACATAGGTATCATATTATTGATTAATTGATTGCCACTGCGAACAGTAGCTTCCTGTAATGCACACTTACTGTCTCTGTAAAGTGACTCCATCTTTTGTGAGGGTGGCTTCTAAGCGAACTTTGCATTGATTTTATTTGAAAATAGACTGTTTTCTGCATTATGTTTAACGGGATTTTGCACAAAAAAAACATGAATGACGTGTCTGCACCATAATTTATTTGGATTTGATACACGTTCCTATACAGGGTGTCCCACTAAGGTCGGCAAGGTACGATATTATGAAAACCATAGACTTTACGGCTTCGGGATTTCTTTTTTCTTCACTAAATCGGCCAATAGAAATTGATGGAAATTATTTTCAAGTTTCTAAGATGACCGCTAGGGGGCGCAATTACGATGATATCACTAATTTTCTTAAGAAATCGCTGTATTAAGATACTGTTTTAACAACGGATATCAAAAGTTCATTCATTTCTGCGCCAGTTTGGTTATTAGGCTTTTTTCGTATCTTCACTAATAAGGGTGGGGGAAGCTGGTGAAAAAATAGATATGAAAATTGCTGTATCTTCCATACCCCTTATCCAAACTCATTCAATCTGGGCTTATTTGAAAGAGAATTTAATTTTTATTAAAAACACCACTTCGTTCGGGGTCGAGATCCTTCCCACCGCGTCTTCTAGAGGGCGCTGTTCAACCAAGATCCAGTTTTTTCTGATTTTCTTGAAAAATCAAAATGGCATGAAATATTTTTTTATTGCTGTGTTTAAAGAGAAAAAAAATATCTACATTTTGGCGCAAACCGCAATTTGATATCTGCATTCGTTTTCAAGTTACGTAAGGTCTATGGTTTCTATAATATGGTATATTCTCATTACCGATCAACATCAGGAACGATTAGGTATTATTTCTTTTGTTTATTTCATATTTCAATTTTCTTAGAGAATCTAAAAAAAATAACAGTTAGGAGATCAACGCCATCACCATCATTTCTATGAAGTTAAAAGCATGCGAAAATACATTGATGGTAATCGATAAACGAAAAGTGATAACAGGAAACTGCAATAAGAAGCAAGCAGTCCTGTAAAGTGCCTCTGCTTCCATAGGGTTGTTATTTCATAAACCATAAAATCGACCCAATCCTTATTTTTATAATCGTAAATCCCTGCTATACCAGAAAATTCAAACTGCATAGGCGCCAAAATGGTTTGATGAAAGCGTAACTTCTGTACTGAGTATTGTTTTTTTTTAAGGCGCATTTAGTTGAAACAAGTGTTTAATTTATTTAGTGTAGGTATGTGTCAAATTTTAAAATGTTGATTTTTGTAAGGAAAAATAAAACATTTTTACTCCTAAGCAGATCAAAAACGCTTTTGCCAGACATTTATTTATAAGTAAAAAAAATCGCAACAAAACAATTACTACTTTAACTAAATTGCGGAAGTCGTAATTGGTAAAGTTATAACAGCTGGCAACCACGGAAATAGAACAGAGAGTTGGCTGCTCTGTTATTGATCAGACTGACGGTCATAGTATAGCTATTCGGTTGCTATGGGAACGTATTCCGCAATATTGTGTCGTCTGACGTCACATCTAGCCACTAAGTCTGCCCAATGTAAAGGGTATCGGGGGCTTTTGAAGCTCTTTCTGTGTCATTCACGAAACTTTACGCAGTCGCCATGAAGCTCCACGTGGTATAAACTTTTTTAACTTGCACAATTTTGGCGTTTCGTCTGTCTCAAATAACCCCAAATTTCGTTTCTTTAAAATTAGATATAATTTATATTCGTTTATGTTACGCGTTCGTTAACGGGGCCATATTTCTAAAAGACCTTAAGAAGGATGTCGTGAGCTTCCAAAATGGCGTAATAGTGAATAGACAAAAAGTGCTCAGGCATTTTGAAAACTTTTTTTTTTGGCAGAGGCGCTCAAAATGACGACTATCTTTAATTATTATAATAGGTCTCGTGAGTGGTGCTGCTGTGTCCTTCGCGGTACCGCCTCTACTTACCAGCAAAACACAAAACATGGAATTTTTTTCTAAGAAACCTGTTATTTTTGAATACAACCAAATAGGAAAATTAGTTGATGTAAGTTTAGAGAAAATTTAAAAAATTCAGCACCACTCTGCTTTTTTCGAATTTTTTGTTCATCGCTATTTGGAGCAACGGGTGCGACAAATAGGTCAAGGCAACAACCCATAGTCTGCGAATTTTTAGTTTAATTTGGCACCGCTAATATCGCTTCAGCTTTCTGCAAGGCTTTGTATGCTATCAATCTCTCCATTGAACAACTAAAACCATCAAACTTTTCAGTATAGTTTATCATAATGCAGTCATTACTAAATTACTTCTGCATGAAAACGTGCGCAACATAGGTAGAATGAAAATATTTTGAATGCCTTCCATTTCAACGCATGCATTCCTGTTGGGCCGTAAAATAAGGTCATTGCAAATATTTTACTATACCGTAAAGTCGAAAATTATTCATAAATATTTATTCTTGCGAAAACCCATTAAATACAAACAACCAATAAAGGTATTTAATTTCCATTGATGAAATGCCTATCAAAGCATGTAGCTTTAAAGTTTTAGCTGCAAATGAATTTTCCATAATAATTTAATGAACAATAAAATGCGTCATCGTATTACAGGACCGTATCCACCTATAAAATCAGTTTTCTGCCTAGAAATTGTCCTCGTCCTTCCGGTGACGGAAGGGACGCTGACGGTTTTAGGGGTGGCTTAAATACTGAGCTTACTATTTTTTTATAGACATACGTTTTTTAGAGTCAATACTGAACATTAATTTTCCCAAGTATGTTGACGAAGACCACAATTTGATAATATTTTCCACATATAGTTGCAGGAACATATTATTATTATTAAGTTAAAATACTATAGAGTCTAGCCGTTAAAATGGAGCCTAAATATGTTCGAATGCAACAAAATCAGTTTTATTAAAAATACAAGCAATATAAAAAAGGATTTAGCACATCAATTTCTTCTATAGTTAATATTATTTTTTAAGGATACTTTGATACTTAAGTTAGAAATACTTAGATATACTTATGACGAATTGTAAACCATGATAAAAACTTCCTATACTAACAGGGCGTGACAAATTTTATTATTCAAAGGAAATCAAAAACCATGAAAGAAATAAATGGATAACATAAATTATTTCCACAAAATTCCAACGTTCGCTAATTTCGAGAGCGTCTTGGAAAAAACTATTTTGTTCATTTACCTTGACCTGCTCTGACTCCAAGAAAGTTCTTCCAAAAATCCAAAGCCTCATTGGACTTGGAACCACCTGTAGAGACTGCTCTGTCCCGATGGCCGTTTCCTTTGGACATGGAACAAAAACTCTCATCTCTGGAATGTAGAAGCGAGTGTCACGATCTTCTTTTTTTTGGATTTGGATATGTCATCCCGCTAATCAGTTTTCTATGGCTTCTTTGGTTTTTATGGAAGCAATCCAAAGTAAAGATTGCATAAAAATACTTGTTTTTAAGGCTACACCGCGCTGCCTAAAGCGTATCTAAGAGCATTGTATCTATGGAATTTTTCTTGAGGGGTTAAAACATGGCGTTCAAAAGTAGGCCCAATAACTCAGAAAATTATCCAACAATTTATGCCATGGTAGACCGCATTGCATTTGGCTGTCGTTTCTTAGTTCACAACTTTTTCCGCTAGAAAATTAAATATTTTCGTCAGGACATCCTATGTATAAGGCAACAGTTCCTCCAGCTTTCATGGAAAGGATGTCTTTTTTTTTAACTGCAGGTCACTGAATTGCTAAATAACCATTTAATTGCAACAGGATTGAATAATAATTTGATATTTTATCAAGCGATGTTTTGGCTTGGTTGTATCATATAACTAACCACAGTGCTGAACTAAAGCAATGGTCAGAAATAGAAATAGCCGCTAAAAATCCCTACAAAGTAAGGAAAATCGATTTTCATTCAATTTACTTTCTATTTGATTAACTGTGCCACTAACGTCATTTCCTGCTGTAGATTTACAGAAAAATGATATGTGCAGGTACTAGATCTGTTCGTGGAGCGAATCACAAATACATTTTGAAAGCCAACATCCCGAATTAATCTATCACATAAAACAGTTTGAGGGAGTGACCTTTAGCATTAATTTCGGATCAGCTTCGCGAACAGAGCTATTACCAAGTTTGTCGTGCTGGCGCATAATAAAGTGTAAAAACTTTCTCTCTCTCTAATTGCCAATCA